GAACCCCAGAGTGATGGCAATGGACCTAGGTATTTGCAAGACCGCCTCCTACCAAACACCTCCCTTCGACCAGTCCGCTCCCACAGAGAGGGCCTCCTTAGGGTGCCGTCGGCCAGACAATGCCGGCTGGCGACCCCCAGGGGGAGAGCCTTCTCTGTGGCAGCTCCTGCCCTCTGGAATGACCTACCCCCCGACCTACGTACAGTTGCGGACCTGCGCCTTTTTCGCCGAGCCCTGAAGGCCCATCTATTCCATGCGGCCGGCCTGGCATAGTTTGATTATGTTTTAGTGGGGGTTTTGTATGGGGTATTTTTAGAGCAGGCCTGTTATTTAATTTGGTTTTAGAACAGAAATTTGTGTATATTTATCGTGGTTTTTATTATCGCCTGTTCACCGCCCTGAGTCCCGTAAGGGAGATAGGGCGGTATATAAATTCAATAAATAATAATAATAATAATAATAATAATAATAATAATAATAATAATAATAATAATAATAATAATAATAATAATAATAATATGGAGCCCATCAAGGACTTGGATTGATTGTTGTTGACAGTGGGATGGGGACTTGTTGGAATTTTTTATTGGGCTCTTATTTCTATAAGCTGCTTGGAGTCATCATAAGTGAGTTGGGCGGCCATATAAATTTTCTCAATAAATAAAATAAATAAACTACTGCAACCAGACCTACATATTTACTTCCTTGGTTAGATATTTTATTTTGAGAGTTACTCCAATTTCTTCATTTGTAATTGCTGAGATTCCAAAAGGTCTGTTTTTGATGTTGACTCCTGTCCCTGAATGCTCAAGGGACTGGAAAAAATAAACTTCAGATTTTCTACATCATTGGAGAGTCCACAGTTTGCTTTCTGTTACTCACTAGTCAGCTTCCCATCTCTCTACACACTCAATTCATGTAAGCATCTGGTACAAGCCACAATGAAGTCACATGCTCTAAGATATCATCGTGCAAATAAAACAATTTATGGAATTTGCATCAGTAGCAACATAACAGATTACATTATCAATTTGAATAATGTATTCCATAACATTGTGATACATGATTAGGGGACTGGAGGCCAAAGCATATAAGGAAAGGCTGCTGGAATTGGGTATGTCTAGTTTAATGAAGAGAAGGATGTGGGGGGACATGATAGCAGTATTCCAATATCTCAGGGGCTGCCACAAAGAAGAGGGAGTCAAGCTATTTTCCAAGGCGCCTGAAGGCAGGACAAGAAGCAACGGATGGAAACTAATCAAGGAGAGAAGCAACCTAGAACTAAGGAGAAACTTCCTGACAGAACAATTAACCAGTGGAACAACCTGCCTCCAGAAGTGGTGAATGCTCCAACACTGGAGGTTTTTAAGAAGAGACTGGACAGCCATTTGTCCAAAATGGTATAGGGTTTCCTTCCTGAGCAGGGGGTTGGACTAGATGACCTCCGAGGTCCCTTCCAACTTTATTATTATTATTATTATTATTATTATTATTATTATTATTATTATTATTATTATTATTAATTTCATTTGCCTCTTTTGCCCACGTATGCACGGGAACTGCTTTATTATGCCTTTTTCCCCTGGCTGAAACCTAATATTACTTAATATTACAGTGAAAGGTATGGAGCTACTCCATAAACATTTGGGATCAATGCTGCGGTATGGCAAACGTACAGTGTGGTTTTCATGATGAAAATCCTGGACAAAAACTGGAGAAATTGGACTGAGCCTTACCATCACTTCCTCTTAACCTAAGCTACCTAAACTAGTCTTGAGCTAGCTAGGCTTGAACATTGGGTCCTATCCAATAAAATGCAGTTTTATGGTGAGAAAAGTAAGATCCAGTAATTAGGCAGGAAAACCCAAATGCACAAGTATAGAATAGGCAGTACCTGATTCAACAGTAGTAACTGTGAGAGGGATCTACTGTGTTTCCCCGAAAGTAAGACCCTGTCTTATATTATTTTTGCCTCCAAAAGAGGCATTAGGTCTTAATTTTGGGGGTGTCTTATATTTTTCGTGACACCTGCCTTGCCTCGCGGTGGTGGCACCAACAGCCCCATCCAGCAGCCCACATGGCTGCCAGCCCACTTCTGCTGTGGCCACTCGCGGCAGGTGGCCACGCGGCACATCGCACCGCTGCCGCCACAACAAGACAAGGCATGTGGGGGACGGGGTGGAGCTGTAGATCCCTCTGGGTCTTACTTTTCTCACCATAAAACTGCATTTTATTGGATAGGACCCAATGTTCAAGTCTAGCTAGCTCAAGGTAGCTTAGGTTAAGAGGAAGTGATGGTAAGACTCAGTCCAATTTCTTAAGTTTTTGTCCAGAATTTTCATCATGACACCACACTGTAAGTTTGCCATAAGTTAATGGAAAGTTAATGGAAATAAATAAATACCACACCACAATATAAAAAAAGATGCTGAGACCTTAGAAAGAGTGCAGAGAGGAACACAAGGATGATGTTGAGACTCTAGAATGAGTACAGAGAAGAGCAACAAAGATGATTAGGGGACTGGAGGTTAAAACATGTAAGGAAAGGTTGCTGGAATTGGGTATGTCTAGTCTAATGAAGAGAAGGACGAGGGGAAACATTATAGCAGTGTTCCAATATCTCAGGGGCTGCCACAAAGAAGAGGGAGTCAAGCTATTCTCCAAAGCACCTGAAGGCAGGAAAAGAAGCAATGGATGGAAACTAGTCAAGGAGGGAAGCAACCTAGAACTAAGGAGAAATTTCCTGACAGTTAGAACAATTAATCAGTGGAACAACCTGCCTCCAGAAGCTGTGAATGCTCCAACACTGGAAGTCTTTAAGAAGAGACTGGACAGCCATTTGTCCGAAATGGTATAGGGTTTCCTGCCTGAGCAGGGGGTTGGACTAGATGACCTCCAAGATCCCTTCCAACTTTATTATTATTATTATTATTATTATTATTATTATTATTATTATTATTATTATTATTATTAATCATTGCACAGTCAGCCAGATGTTCAGACTGGATTTGGCATTTTTGTCTACCTATCGAGTCCTTCCCAAGGACCTGGGGTAGGCAGATGTGGATGTTTGATGGTATTACAGATATCGTCGCAGGATGGAAGCAGTTCCTAGTAAGGCCGCCTTTTGCAATTGACTAATGGCGAATTTGTCAATGCCAATGGTGTTCAAGTGGTGCTCCAGTTGTTTTGGGATTGCACCCAAGGCGCCTATTACTATTGGTACTACCCTTGCTTGCCTTTGCCACAGTCTTTCTATTTCTATTTGTTGGTCTTTGTATTTTGTTATCTTCTCCAGTTCTTTCTCGTCTATTCTGGTGTCTCCAGGCACTGCCATGTCCACTAGCTAGACTTTTTTGTCTTTCTTATCGACAAGTGTTATATTATTATTATTATTATTATTATTATTATTATTATTATTATTATTATTATTATTACTATTACTATTACTATTACTATTACTATTACTATTACTATTACTATTACTATTACTATTACTATTGGTCTGGAGCTAAACCATATAATAAATGGTTTAAGGAACTAGATATGTCTATCCTATCAAAGAGAAGGATTAGAGATGACATTATAGCTGTCTTCCAGTGCTTGAGTGGCTATCACAGAAAAGAGTGGTTTTGCTTATTCTCCAAAGCACATGAGGGCAGGAGAAGAAGCAATGGGTTGAAGCTTCTTAAAGCTTAGAACGTAGAACTTAGAACTAAGGATAAATTTTCCGACAGTGATTAATCAGTGGAATAGCTTGCCTTATGGAGTTGTGGGTGCTCTATCACTAGAAGTTCTCCAGAAAAGATTGGACAACCATTTGTCCAGGATGATACAAGGTCTCTCGCCTTGAGCAGAGTGTTGGACTAGAAGACTTCCAAGCTCTCTTCCTGCCCTAAGATTTTATGACTTCTATGACTAACCAAGTTCCGTTGAGAATAAAATGATGGGAATAACCTTTGGAAACCAGTTTATTGTAGCTCCTAGAAAGAAGGAAATATATACATGTAATAAATAAATAAACTGGTGATCATGACAGATTTCAGAAGGTGAAAGGAGCGAATTTCAAAATACCAGTTCAGAAAGTTATGGTCCATTATAAGTTGAGTCCAAAGTTTCCTACAGTATGGATTCACTACTTTCTAGCCCTCCATGCCAAACAAACATGTAGATTGATTGATTGATTGATAGACATACCATCAACTTGTTTTCAGTTTCTAGCAACCAAATAGATAAATTTCTGTATGACAAACTATCTCAAACTGTTCTTTCAGGTTTTCCAACTGTGCACTCATCGTGACTGGTAACTGAGTCCAAATATACGTAGCAAAACTGACAGTAGGATTTCTGGAAACATAATAGGACTCGTTGGCCTACTTCTTGAGTTTAGGAGAAATTTACTTATATTTATTTATATTTTTTAAAAATTATATCCTGCTCTTTGAATGAGGTTAAGAGAAATATCTCCATGTCTACTGACCCAGTTAATTGAATCAGAAAGAATGGGAAGTTATTACTTCCCATGGATAATATAATGTTCACTTGGGAGAAAACTAGCAGAAGGATTGGATAGAAAGAAAATTGTCAGGATCCCAGTGGAAGTAAATTGCTACACTCCATCAAATTGACGTAGCCATAGCATGAACTAACACTGCTGAATGGAATTTAATAGCATCCATTGTTTTGTACTCAGAGATTAGCCCCAAAACATAAATTTTGAAAGGTAGGTTACTTATACACCCCCATGACAATGAAATCTCTTAGAACTATTCTTGCTTCAATATTTGCTATATACAGCCATCTGTTGCTAGGGAAGTTTCACTAAAAAACTTCCTACTCAATATCTTGGGGAAACTTCAACTGGGTATGAATCACACATCTATAAACTTGTATCAATATTTTTTTCTGTGGAGGATAGAAGTCTACTGAAAAGACAGCAGGCCACACAGCTTCTTTAAATGATGGCTTGGAACTTAGCAATCTATTCTTCTGGCACTTACCTGGCATATAAACCCGGTTGATGAGCACTGCCGTACCCAGAGACTGAATTTCCGTTTTTTCCTCTTACGTAATTCTCGCTCTGTGCAGGTGGCAATGAAAACTGGATCTTCATCAATCAGAGGCTCATGGAGTACCTAAAGTCATAATATGCTAATGTTATTTGGTCTTAGGCTAGGAAACCATTTTTAGAAATCCTCTTAAGCATGTCAAAATTGAATCAATCTCTTATACAAGTGGTCTACCCTTCTTAATGGGTTAGGACAGGGGTAGGCAAGCTTGGCTCTTTTATGACTCGTGGACTTCAACTCCCAGAATTCCTGAGCCAGCATGGCTGGCTCAGGAATTCTGGGAGTTGAAGTCCACGAGTCATAAAAGAGCCAAGCTTGCCTACCCCTGGGTTAGGAAGTAGCCCAGATATATTAATATTTTTTTAAAAAAAACCCTCTCCTATTTTTCACCCATCAAATATGTACCGTAACATAGCCTCAATTCTCATACGAAATACTCCATGAAACAAAGAAGCTTGTGAACAATATCTAGAAAAAAACATGAATCAGGTATTATAAATTATCCAAATTATAACTGTCGTTGAAGTGTATCTCGGACGCTGAATACATATTCTAATTATGTAGATCAGAACATTCAGTTTTTGTATCTGTCCATGGCATCTTAAGAACAAAAAATACACCATCATAAATTGCAGTGCTTTCTTTGGCACTGACAAATTTTAGAATGCTTATAATGAACTTGATTCCTCCAGAAGACTCATCTTGGTAATTGTAATTCCCATCAGAATGTTAAACTTTGCCCAAGTGCCTGTTGGTTTTTACCAATTGTGTTCTACTTCTGCAGATACCAACAGCCTCAAAACTATCAAATGAGCATTTAAAAAAAGGAAACAAAAGGTTATCTAGTCAAACAAAGGACTGTTTTAATAGAAGAGAATACATGTAGCTTAGGATGAACTTGGAGTCCTTGGTGCTGTCTTGGTTGTTTGTAGACATTTCATTACCTAACTAGGCAACATTATCAGTGCAAGATATGTGTGGGGTTTATCTACAGTAACTTGGCCCACCAGTGTTAATGGGGATGCGGGTTTTTTTCCTTGGTAGTCCCTCAATTATGGTATTGTTTTCTGCTTGTTTGCCTGAGGTTAATCCTTGCTTATCTGGGTGTTGGTCTTTTTTGTTTCCCCTTTTAGCTTTTTTTATGCATATGGAATGGTAAAAAGACTTGAGCATGGAGGAGGCAGTATTAAAGGAGAGTTCTATAAATTAAAGGAGAGTTCTTTTCTGAAGTAATGTTATTGTAATTAGGTATAATGTAGTCTATGTCGGTATTTTAGCACATCCTTTTAATCCTGTTATGCAAATCCACACTCCCATTTGTCCTGGGGTTTTTTTTCTGAAGGCATTTCATTTTTGAAGAGTATTTTGAGATGAGGACGGAGGGTCTCATGGGAGTGGCCACCGTGAATTACAATCTGATTTTTAAGTGGCAAAAGGCAGAGTGAGTTTTTGAATTTTTCCATTGTCAATAGCTGACTTCTATAAAGTTTTGGAATAATTTGTATCTAGGCAATTTTCTTTTCAGATGAATTTCTATGTTAGGACTGAGTGGGGGAAAATTATTAGGGTGAAAGGACCTAGAGATAGGTAAATGGAGCAACCTGTATGTCATCTGAACACCTTAAAAGTGACGATAGTCCTTGTTTTAAATAAAACTTGATTAAGTCTGTAGATTACCTGTTTATTCCCCCTTCCACCCAAAAAGCTATAGATCATCATCAAGCCATTTATTTGTTTAAGAATATTTTAACCAAAAACCCAGCTATCCCAGTAAGTAAGTTAAAAGAGAACATGGCAGCTATTTTAGTCAGGATAGATTTATGTATTTATTTTAAAGGTTTATATGGCTGCCCATCATAAGCAACCATAAAACCAATAAATGAAACAGTCATAAAAACAATAAAATAATGAAATAACAAACAAAAATTTACATTTACAATAATGTTGGACACATCAACTCGGCACCAATCATTATTAGACTATGTCAGTGGTTCTCAACCTTTTTAATGCCACGACCCCAACCGGTCGTAAGTCGAGGACTAAACCGGTCGTAAGTCGAGGACTAAACCGGTCGTTAGTCGAGGACTACCCAACCGGTCGTAAGTCGAGGACTTTCCCTGCCCGGGAGCGCCGCACATGCGTGGTTCCGCCCCCTGTGCCGGCCGAGGCGTAGTTGGCAAGCAGCAGAGACGGAGCAGGCCGACCACCAGCTGGCCCAGCCCAAGGGAGGTAAGGCACCCGCCAGAAAAGGGGGAAAAAATGGCGGACAGCCTTGCTTGGCGACCCCCGTGAAATGGTCAATCGACCCCAAATGGGGTCCCGACCCACAGGTTGAGAACCACTGGACTATGTGCTCCCAAGTAGAGAAAAATGCAGAATACTAAAATAATACTCGATAATTAAGTAGCAGCAGGTCCCACTTAAAAAGAACAAATAAAAGCTCATCATGTAGTTGTCCTGGGTGCAGATAACTGCATGCCTTAACCCAGCTATCAGTGAATGCCAGCAGGCATTTGTTAGGATTTAAATAAAAGTTGGATTTTTTAAAAAGAAATATATGAAATATCTAAACTATCTTGAATAGGAGAGAGAGAAAGAGAGATAGAGATGACTAGGAAGTTCCTTTTTGCCCCCTAGAGAGAGAGACATATTTAGTTAACAACAGGCAGGTGAGAAAACTAGTACAGCATGCAGGGCCCATAGGTAGAAAGAGATGAATAATATATCCATTCTGTGTATTACTTTTCCATATTCTGAACTGGAATCTTGGAACTCCCTCTCACATGATCCAAGCCCCTTCCCCCTCCTCCCCCCAAAAAGCTCCAGGCTACCATATAAATTAAATAAATAAAAATTGAACATTTAATTTCCGCATTCCAGCATGCTACACATCAGGCAATATTTATTCTAATAACTGGCTTTTGTCATGAGGAAAAGCAGTTAAACGCCATCCTGTTTGTTTTGGCTCTCTTCGGTGTTTTATGCACTGCTGTAAAATAATAGTCACACTTGGTACATTAGGAAATAAATTCAGTAACCAAAACACTGTCGACAGAATGAGGTGCCAAACCTAAAAGGTTCTGAATAATTCATTCAAAATCTGAATTAAACCACAACAAGAAGGCTACTTTAAGCATCTGCTTGTCTGTGTCCTTCCATTAGAGAGGCTGGCCAAGAGGCAACACCAGTTTAAAAGCTGTAGCTGTTTTCTAGGTACAGTCAATTATAGATTCGTAGAAAGTATCAGATGTTCTAAAAGTTGTTTAACATTGTACCGGTCTTATTCAAGCTGTGTCCATAGACAAACAAATATTCATAGCAAAAGAAAATGAACTAAAAAGATACTCATTCAGATTATCCAAAAGGCAGAATTAGAGATTGGCTCAAGGTTTTGAGCGTCTCATATACAATGCACTGAAGTCTTAGCACGTGGTTGCCAGCAGCTAACAGGGGTCTTCAAACTTGGCCCTTTTATGACTTGTGGACTTCAACTCCCAGAATTCCTCAGCCAGGCACGCTGGCTGAGGGATTCTGGGAGTTGAAGTCCACAAGTCATAAAAGGGCCAAGTTTGAAGACCCCTGAGCTAGAAGAATCCAAATGCTGAATTGATAGCAGTGAAAAAATGTTGACTTAATTCAGCATGTTTGTTGTGCTGTATCTCACTACAGTGATCTACTGTAGGTTATTACATCAATTGATTTTTATCAGTTGCAGAACCAAAGCAGAAATCATTGGGACTTTCAGATTCAAGTTGGAGAAATCCAGAAATTTGCAGTAAAGGGTCATAGCAAAGTAGTGCTGGCAGTAAAGGGTTACAGTATCTAGCCATCATCCAGATTTTTGCAGCCCAGATCTGGTAACTCTATGTATATTATGTTTATGCAAATATCCAGGCAAAGTGCATAGAAGGAAGATAGCTGCTGCTATCATAATTTCTATTGGGACTACCATCTTCCTGCAGTAGCTACTTGAAGTAGCAAAAAAGCTTTTTGATACTAATAAGACTTTGCTCCTTATGGAACTTGTACTCTTTATATTGGGAGTGGGGGAGGACCTCTCACTTCTTCATTTTAAAGAAAACTTTTTATAGAATTATCATATTGGATTACATCATATTGGAAATGACATAGAGCAGGCATGTCAAACTCACGGCATCACGTGATGTCGCACAACGTATCGGGCCGGTTTTGCCATTGCCGGCAATGGGGCGGGCGCGGCTTCCACGTGACACGTCCGGCCTGCAGGCCAGCAGTTTGACACCCCTGACAAAGAGGCTAGAATGAGATAGTCAGGATCATTAAATTGGCAAAAGATTATTTAATATCCCCTTTTCTCTAATGCATTTTGTTAATTAGGAAAAATGCTAGCTGTCACGGCCCAGGCCTTAGACTTTGAATCTGATTTTTAAGAAGCTGCTCCAGCTGACCCAGTGGAATATCAGCCTCAGGAGACATAAAGTCAGGGATCACATGAGGCTGATCAAAAATAGACATTACCTGAACAGCTGGATTAGTCAGAGGAGGTTGATGTAAGATCACCCAGCTCCCATACCCAGTGAATAGAATGGAGAGCAGATCAGTGGTGTTTGTTGAGGCTTATTGCAAACTAAGGAAGTAAATCTCATTATTAATGACAAATGGCTGCAAACTGATTTAGGAGGCAGTCCTGAACCCTGTTCCTTTGCTGGAAGCAACTTCTGATCTCTGGCTCTTGCATGACATTGGTGTGTTTTTTGCCTGTGAAATTCTGACTTCTGGACTGGCTGACAACCCTGACTCAGCTCTTGGAATCTTTGATTGATTCGGGGGCTTTTCTTCCGTTTGCTCCTGTTAAAACAAAACTTAGACAAAGGTCTAATAGAGACTCTGTTTTGCTTTGCATGCTTTAACTGTCATCTCTTTGACATCGAGTAAACCATAAACTACCATAGTAATTATATGTGAGTATTTGAAACCAGAAGCAAGATATTTCTGGGTTCCTAATTTGTTACCTCCATTGGCAAACATCTCTCTCCCCTATATTCTCTTTGACAATACAAGTGACTTCTTAAATGAAAACCATCTTTTTCTTATACTACCCCTGAGTGCAAGAGGGTGTGTATGACTCTTGTATCAGCAAAATAGCTACCAAGTTTTACCACTATCTTTCAGAGCAATCATTTGAGAACAATAGTTGCACTCTAGTGTGTTCAGCTTCAATTCCATCATCCCATAGCCCAGTGGCTATACAGGATAGAGATGATGAGAACTGAAGTTCATAAATCGGGAGACAGAATGTTGCAGAGTCTGATTCAAAGCTTATTTTCAATTCAACATGTTGGTTGTACTAGAAAAAAAGGTATGATGGGATATTAGGGATCTCATAACTTCAAATTAGTTTAATAACTAATGATAAAAAGAAATAATATAATTAGAAGAATGATGCCAAAGTAGGTATTCTTGTGATTTGTGGCTATCAAAATTAAAATCTGTAGCTCCCGCCAACTAATTATTTTGGTGTAAGGTTATCCTGTTTATCCTGGCTTCATCTTAATTACACTTACAGGGATTAGTCAACCATCTTACAAAAAATAAACATAAGAATTTTAAATCTTAAGAGGAAGGCACATTAGTAATCATATTATGTATCTGCCTAAGCTCAGGGTGGATTTGCATATACATCATGATGATGTGTCAGTCACAAGGCCTCCAATCTGCCAGAATCATTTCCATTTGAAGCACTGAAATGGAAGCATGAAGCAGGATTCATATCTCATATCCATTTTAAGTAATTTAGAGAAGCCTTTCAAATAATATGAGCAGGAAAATATCAGGCCCTAATCCCAGCTTCTTCGCTTGTTGTAATCCAAATGACAACTGAAATCCAGTCAAGCTGGAGGACAATGGGGAAACAGGTTGAGAAGATGAAAGTGGCCCAATACATTTTTTTTAATATATCACCTTATACTTCTACCTAAAGTATTTGACTTATTTATATCATTCTTAATTGCCACCAGGCATGATAGATAGCTTCTTTTCTATCATATAAGCACATTTGCACAGTTTAATTATTAAAGGCTAGCTCACTTCTACCTGCTTCATCTCCATGGCTTCCCTTATAGAGCAAACAAGGTCATGTGATGTATATCCTTCTTCAACGTCATGATTCCTATAGTTCTTATTGTTTCCTTTAAATGAGGTAGATCCATATTTGAGCATACCATATGTCTCAATAGAAATAAAATATTTCTTGAGTCATTCTTCATGTCTGTATACACACACGTATACACTTCTGGTCATTGCTTCTCAAAGCCCCAAAAGCTTGCAACAGGGGATATATATATATATATATATATGAAGAATGACTCAAGAAATATTTTATTTCTATTGAGACATATGGTATGCTCAAATATGGATCTACCTCATTTAAAGGAAACAATATATATCCCCTGTTGCAAGCTTTTGGGGCTTTGAGAAGCCCACAAGAAAGCCTACATGAGTCCAGCCCCAACATTACAACATAGGAGGCAGGATGTGTGGAGTTGTCAACAATTCCCCTCCCCTCAGGATTACTTTAGGTGGCACATTCAAAAGCATCAGCATCTTCTGCTCACTTGTAAATAAAGTTCAATCATCCAAGGCAAAAGTATCTGAAATCGTGGCAGCTGGACCAAAGTTTATTAAAACTCAGATGTTTCGTTACTCATCCAAGTAACTTCTTCAATTGAAATGAAAATTTGGGTAGGCAGAGAGTCATTGGAAAGAACCAACATAATCGAATCTTCATTTACATGTTGCTTTTCATTTTGGGAAGAAACCTCCTGCAGTCGGTATGGCAAGAGTTGGCTCTTTCGAATGACTCTCTGACTCTCTGCCTACCCAAATTTTCACTTTGACTGAAGAAGTTACTTGGATGTGTAACGAAACATCTCAGTTTTAGTAAACTTGGGTCCAGTTGCCCCACGATTTAATCTTCAGATATTCTCTCTCACTTCTACATCCATACTCTCTAACATTTATGAAGCTGAGGGACTAAAGAGGTATGTGAAGACTGAAGTGTGAAAGATAGGCAAGAAAATGGTAAGTGAGCACCTGTCCAGCCTAGATGAGTTCAAATCGCCAGGACCAGATGGATTACACCCCAAGATTCTCAAGGAACTGGCAGATGTGATCTCAGAACCACTGAACTATATTTTTCAAAGATCTTGGAGCACTGGGGAACTACCAGAGGAGTGGAAAAGAGCTGATGTAGTTCCCATCTTCAAAAAAGGAAAAAAAGATGGATCCAGGAAATTACAGACCTATCAGCCTGACCTCAATACCTGGGAAGATTCTGGAAAAGATAATCAAACAACGAATCAGCGAACACCTAGAGGCAAACAAAATCACTACTAAAAGCCAACACGGGTTTGTCAAAAACAGATCATGCCAGACAAACCTTACTGCATTCTTTGACCAAGTGACAAAATTAATGGATCAGAGGAATGCTGTGGATATAATTTACTTGGACTTCAGTAAGGCATTTGATAAAGTAGATCAGAACCTACTACTCGATAAGATAGAAAAATGTGGGTTAGACAGCATCACCACCAGATGGATTCGTAGTGGGCTGACTGGCCATACTCAGCGTGTGGTTCTCAATGGAACTGCATCTACATGGAGGGAAGTGTGTAGTGGGGTGCCTCAGGACTCTGTTCTAGGCCCAGTGCTCTTCAACATCTTCATCAACGATTTGGACGAGGGGATAGATGGGGAACTCATCAAATTTGTGGATGACACCAAGCTGGCAGGAATAGCCAACACTCCAGAAGACAGGCTTAAGATACAGGAGGACCTGGACAGACTTGAACACTGGGCGCTATCTAACAAAATGAAATTCAATGGTGAAAAAAGTAAGGTTTTACATTTAGGCAAGAAAAAACAAATGTACAGGTATAGTATAGGGGGTACCTTGTTCAATAGCAGTAATTGTGAGAGGGATTCTCAGAGTCCTAGTGGACAATCACTTAAATATGAGCCAGCAGTGTGCTGCAGCTGCCAAAAAAGCCAACTCAGTGCTGGGCTGCATTAACAGAGGGATAGAATCAAGATCAAGTATTAATACCACTTTACAATGCCTTGGTAAGGCCACACCTGGAATACTGCATCCAGTTTTGGTCACCACGATGTAAAAAAGATGCTGAGACTCTAGAAAGAGTACAGAGAAGAGCAACAAAGATGATTAGGGGACTGGAGGCTAAAACAAATGAGGAACGGTTGCTGGAATTGGGTATGTCTAGTTTAACGAAGAGAAGGACGAGGGGGGATATGATAGCAGTGTTCCAGTATCTCAGGGGCTGCCACAAAGAAGAGGGAGTCAAGCTATTCTCCAAAGCGCCTGAGGGCAGGACAAGAAGCAATGGATGGAAACTAATCAAGGAGAGAAGCAACCTAGAACTAAGGAGAAACTTCCTGACAGTTAGAACAATTAACCAATGGAACAACCTGCCTCCAGAAGCAGTGAATGCTCCAACACTGGAAGTTTTTAAGAAGAGACTGGACAGCCATTTGTCCGAAATGGTGTAGGGTTTCCTGCCTGAGTAAGTGGTTGGACTCGATGACCTGCAAGGTCCCTTCCAAGTTTTTTTTTTATTTTTTTTATTATTATTATTATTATTATTATTATTATTATTATTATTATTATTATTATTATTATTATTATTATTATTATTATTACTATTACTACTACTACTACTACTACTACTACTACTACTATTATTATTATTATTATTATTATTATTATTATTATTATTATTATTATTATTATTATTATTATTATTATTATTATTATTATTATTATTATAATATCACCTTATGCCCAGCCTGGATTTCATAAATGCAGAAGAAAAACTAACCAGTTTCATCATGTCAACTGAATCAGTGAGTGATATATCTCTAAGGGATGCTCTGTTGTTACATTCATTCCTCAGTTGTGTTTAAGAAGACTCAGAGAATAGAAGAAACCACTGTGGGATTTTTCCAGGTCACAGGCTGTGTTTTAGCAGACGCCTGGAACTTAAAGACCACTTTTTCAATGTAACCATCATTCACCCCACATTGGAGAATCCCTGGAAAGACTCGGAAGGTTTTTGTACATTGCTGAGACATTTCTCCCTTGGCCATATTGGAAACATCTGTCGCCTATACCTCTCCACCACTGCATACTGAAGCATGGTTCAAGGGGAGATGGGTCCCCATAAGGCCACCATCAAGCCCACCTACACTATTTGTACACCATTGAGAAGTAGAACCATAAAGGCACCTTAAAACCTGGGTTTGATTGCTGTGAAAATTTTTAGATGTGCTCTTAAGAAACCAAGCATGCAAATGCATTCCCCACATGCTTCCTTTACAGATTAGGTTTTCTTGCTGATTCATGGTATGTTTTAGAGTTTTAGTGCAAGAAAGGAGCAAGATTTCCCACAACCCAGAAATCAAATCTCACCTGTGTTTGGGAAGGCTTGAAAGCAGAGTCAAAGCTATGTTGCAGAGAGTCCAGAAAGGGCTGGATTTTATAGAGGCCATGTGTAGTCTGACTCGAACGAAAGGCCACAATATGGAAGTACTTAAGAATCTTCTCAAATCTTGCCTGAGTCATGATTAATGCGATGCTCTTGTTGCTATAGAAACCACTACTCCAGATGCCGAGGACCGACTCACAATGGTGAGTGCTTGTAGATATCATATAGGCAAGGAAGGCCTTGATTTCTATCAGAGTGACATCCATCCAAGCCTCATCACTGCCAAACCGCTCCTGGTATTTCTTGGCATACATGTTGGTTTGAATCACCATGTTCTTTAGCAAATTATCAGGAACAAAGAGTTGGAAAAAGTCCATGGCACTGGCAGTGGGTGGCATTTTGCGAGTTGGACCTAAAAGAGGAAAATGTAGAAATTAAGCTCATTTTTCCAAACATTCAGAATATTCGCAATGAAGCAGAACCCTGAAACAATATAATTAGGCTACTTAGTCCATCTCATTCAATGAAGCACTGCTTTCTATAGTTTGTTTCTTAATGGGCACTCAGAGTCGTATTATATCCATTGCTATGAGGATAAGGAAGTTCATGTCTATTGTCAAGATTCAAAACATCTGCCTAATTATTCCTGCACTTCTATTCCTGTCTACTCAGGAATAGACTAGGAAGTGCTACTAAGATCCAAAACTAATTTAGTCATGACATGTAGTCATTTTGTGGTCAAATTATCAATTCTTTTAAGAGAAAGTCTCCCTTCCCATTAGATAAACATTGAACTGATTTCATTAGAAATGCATTTAGCTGTGATCTAACAGGTATTTCTATGGAGTATAAATAAGAATGATTAAAAATATAAGAGAACATCTTTATTAAATTGGAAATAGCTTATTCACATGCGTAAGGTAATATTTCATTCCCCAATATGGCTACCTTGTTTTTTTTAAAAGATAAGTATGCATTATTAGAAAGATATACACGAGATGTTAATAAAGATGTCTTACTGAACTCTTTTCATAGACTTCCTTTATACTTTGAGAGGAAGGATTGTAAGAGATAAGTAGATAAGCATCTCTAATCAGTTTTGCACAGATTAGTAAATCTTGAAGTAAGAGAAGCCTGATGAAAAAGGTGAAAAAAGCAGAGTCAAGTAATCAGCTTAGCAAAATCAAACTTAATACGAGAGTGAAAATATTCACTCAGTTCTAATAATTCTATATTTTTCTAGACAACTATAATCTGGTCATAAAGCAGTTTATTAAACTGGTTTATTTAGGCATCAATGATTTTTACACATTTCACTTTAAGCAAAGCAATGCATTAAGTCTGAGTTCCAAAGACTTCTGGACTCATTATTCTTTTCTTCCTAATACCAATGGCTTTGTATTTGGCCATTTCCACATTATTTTTCTTAGGTCCATAAGAAGCTTTGAAGAAACTTCAAATGAAGCAATTCCTTAAGCAACATGGTCCTTTTTCTTTCAAGAAAGAAACAAAGTACCCATTTTCCCCTACTTTTCTTCATTTCAAAACTCCTCTCAACTTTTTCCCACAGAGCTTATGCTGAGCAGCTGTGGCACATTGTATGGACAATCCTACAGTGCACAGCAAAGCAATCCAGACTGTAGACACACATTGGTGTGGACCGAAGATTGCTCCAGTTACTCAGCTCCAATCACACTGTAGGCAATTCTGCAGCCTGCCGGCCTGAAAATTTGAAGCTATAGAAACAAATCACAGACCTGATTTATTGAAAAATAAATAAATAAATCAGGTGGCTTTATTGCTTCAACAAAGGCAGCATTGTCTTCTCCATAGCTGAAAACATTTTGTTGAATCAAATCCACATTATTTTATCTAGGCCAACTCTTTCCACTTTCACAAAAGCAGTGTGAAAACAGCCCAGAAGC